CTGATCAGTGGCTCCCACGGCCTTCAAGGTGAAGGCCAAACTCCTTGCCACACCCCCCGGGGCCCCACACCTCTGAGTCCAGAAGACTGGCTAGCAGCAGACCTCACTCCAAGCACTTTGTCCTGTCCTAGTGTTGCACACAGCCACACGGTGCTCCCCCAACCCCAGGGCCTTTGCACGTGCTGTCCCTCTGCCCACACTTTACTCGCTGCCTCCTTCCTCCTCCAGTCGGCGCTGCAATGGCCTTTCCTTTGCGGGGCCTCCCCCACCCTCTGGTCTAAATCAGATCTTTCCTTGGGTCACCTACATAACACTTCTCACCCTTCGAAGTGATCTTTTTATTGTTTAGGATTATTTGCATAATCTCTGTCTCACCCACTAGAGGGCACCCTCTGGGGAGGGTGAAGATGGTGTCTCTCTTGTTTGTTGTGGCAGCTCCAGGGCACGGCTCAGTTCCTGGCGCAGTAACTAGTGCTGGGGGGATCGAGGCCCACAGCAGGGCCGAGCCCAGGCCTGCCCATCTCCGTCCGCACTTCCTCCCACGCGAGGGGCTGGCACCTGGCAGCAGCGGCTCTTCCCTGGGACGAGTCTCCCCCAGAGAGCCTGGTGCTCAGGCCTGGCTGCCGCAGATGAGTGCCCATGAATCAAGCTGACATTTCCATTACCCGAGGGAGACGAGTGTGTGGCCGGGACTCTGGCTTGGGCGGGGGTGGCGGGGATGACGGCTCATCTCAGCCACCAGCCAGGGAGGGAAGTCAGCCCCCTTACTCACGGAGGCCTGGGCCTGCCCATCGACCCCTGGCCGGGGGAACGACTGTGACCCCGAGGCAGAGAGCGGGTGACATGGGCAAGCGAGAGAAGCGCCAGCATGTGCAGACACAGACGTGTGCACAGGGCCGTGCGTGAGCCCCAGCACCCGTGTGGCACTTTGTCCAGGGCCAGCGCACGCACACATGGCCGAGCACACAGGATCAGCAGGAGAACACGACGTGGATGAGCACGGCGTACACACAGTTAGCACGTAGGCACAAAGGCTGACTCCTGCTTGTGCAGCGTCAGCGTGTGTGTGTGTGTGTGTGTGTGTGTGCGCGCACGCGCAGGGTCAACACCTTTGGCCAAGGCCAGCCTCAGATGTTCAGGTGTATGTGCAACTGGGCCACTGTGCACACCAGCCCAGGGCATGTGGATACAGAGACACTGGGTGCAGGCGCAGAGCCTTGGGCTGTGGGTCACCCAGTGCGCAGGTGTCAAGATCAAAGGCACACACCGAAACCCGACAGCCAGCCGTTCCCTCAGAACACGTCTGCTCAGCGCCGGGGAGCGTTAGCTGGGAACGCTGTTTGCAGGAGTGGAAGGAGGGGGCCATTGCTTCCCTGGGTGCTCACCCAGTCGCCCTCTTTCTTCAAACCAGCTGGCTCCTCCCTCCTCCCAGACTGGGGCAGACAGTAGCATTTGCTCCCTATACGAAGACAACTCTCACCGTACCTCTCAGTGACCCGCTGGATTACTCACCCTTCCTGCCTGGAAGTGCCTCCTTTTATTTAACTAGCAGCCTTCTTGCTGCAGGCTCCGTGAGACCGAAAGACAGGTTGTTCTCAGCCCCTGCCCAAGAGGTGCCCAAAACGATGCAGGAGGACTTGACGCCTAAGTGGCCCTGCGATCCTCTTTCCCTTCCCTTGTGACAATGGCCCTCATTCGAGCCATCCACATATCATAATCACATAGCACTTGCACGATTATTTATTTAATATTTTTCTTTAAACCGATTCTTTTTCTTTTACTTAAATGCCTATTTTGGTTTCATCCTAAGCAATGATGTCTTTGAAATCATAGCACTGATGTGCCCATTATACAGTTTTTTCTAGTACACATTTACATAAACACAACTATTAAAATAGATTAAAATTTTGCCCATGTGTCAACTAAAATCATCTTCTGGACCTCCTGTGGTCCACTCGCCACCTTCAGAAGGACCCTGGGTGAGAATAAGAGGTCCAAGGCGCCTGGTGGCCTGGGCCAGATTCCAGCCCCAAATCACAGTGCTTCCCTCTTGCACGAGGCCAGAGCCTGAACTCCTTGTCCCGACGTTTCAAGGCCTTAGTCGCTGGGCCCCAATCTTTCTCCCAGGACTGTCTCCAGCCCCACACAGGAGGTCCTCAATATTTACTGAATGAATGAAAGGTGCGTTAGCATGTCACTCACTTGATTAGTCAATGCATGAATGAATGAATGAATGGGCGCACACCTCCACCCGGGCGTCCCCTGGGCCCCTGCGACTCAAGACATCTGGACCATGAAGCCTCCATGTTTCCCGTCCCCGTACCCGAACCCCCAAACCCGACAGTCAGCACCGACTTCCCCTCCTCCCACATCAGTCCACCCCACGTCCATTGATTTTCCCTCCTAACTAGCTCCCGAACCTGCGCCCATGGTCCGCTCCCCAGGGCCACGTTCCTAAGCCAGACCACTGTGTCCTCTCACTTGGGTGTAGCGAGGGTGACGTGTCTCCCACACCTATCCTCTGCCCTTAGCTGCGGTGAGCGTTCTGGAATGCACACCTGGGCGCATCCCGCTCCGCTGAAAGCATCCCGCCGCCCTCTGCCCCCAGGACAAACTCTACGTCTCCTAGCAAGGCATCCAGTACCCCTGGCTCCACTGACCCGATTTCCCACCATGCCCTCCTGACCCCCTTCTCTCCACGCCTGCCCTCCGGACTATCTTAAAGCCCTGTAGTGTGCTTGCTTTCCCCTCTGTCCTCTTGGCCACCTGACAGCCAGACGACCTTCGTGTCTTGTCTTAAATGTCGCTTTCCCAAAGGAGCCTGCCCCCCCCACCACGCCCCCCGCCGGTCCCCAGCAGGAGCTGCCTCGGCTCCCACGGCCCGGCCTCCCTCGCCGTTGCAAGAGGAAGCCCTGATTCCGCGTTGGCCGTGTGCCAGGCTCCATTCTGAACATGCTTCGCCTGCGTTAGCTCGTTTAATCCCCACAGCAGCTTTAAGAGGTAGGTATAATGATTACCCCCACTTAATAGGTGAGGAAACTGAGGCACAGAGTGGTCGAGTAACTTGCCCAAGGTCACAAGGAGGAGGTGGAATCTGAACCCAGGCAGTGGCCCCAGAGCAGGCAGCAGGGCATTCAGTGACCGTAGATGCCCTCTCTGGATGCTTCAGTGCCCCACCTCGGGTGCCTGCCGCAGGGCTTGGCACATAGTAGGGCACAATGAATTCTATCACTGCGGATGATGTATGCACGGGTGCACGGCTGATGGGTGCGTGGAAGGATGACGAATGGATGTCTGATACAGGAAGGATGACAAGTAACGGATGGATGCGGACGGATGACAGATGATGGCTGACGGAGGGATGAATGGATGACGGAGGGTTGGAGGGATGATGGGGGGATGGAGGGATGATGGAGGGTTGGAGGGATGATGGGGGGATGGAGGGATGATGGAGGGTTGGAGGGATGATGGGGGGATGGAGGGATGATGGAGGGTTGGAGGGATGGAGGGTTGGAGGGATGAGGGAGGGTTGGAGAAATGGAGGGTTGGATGATGGAAGGATGGAGGGATGATGGGATGGAGGGATGATGGAGGGTTGGAGGGATGGAGGGTTGGAGGGATGATGGAGGGATGATGTAGGGATGGAGGGATGATGGGATGGAGGGATGAATGGATGATGGAGGGGTGGAGGGATGATGGAGGGATGAATGGATGATGGAGGGATGCTGGATAGATGGAATGAATGATGGAGGGATGGAGGGATGATGGAGGGATGGAGGGATGATGGAGGGTTGGAGGGATGGAGGGTTGGAGGGATGATGGAGGGATGATGGGATGGAGGGATGAATGGATGATGGAGGGATGAATGGATGATGGAGGGATGACAGAGGGTTTGAGGGATGAGGGAGGGATGATGGAGGGATGAATGGATGATGGAGGGTTGGAGGGATGATGTAGGGATGGAGGGATGATGGAGGGTTGGAGGGGTGAGGGAGGGATGAGGAGGGATGGAGGGATGACGGAGGGATGAATGACGGAGGGGTGGAGGGATGATGGAGGGATGCTGGATAGATGGAATGAACGATGGAGGGATGGAGTAAAAGGTGTTCTACTTGGGGAAAAGCTCTAGAAATCTTTCCAGAAAGGGATGAGGCCTCCTGGGAGATGCTGAACTTGGAGTCAGGGGTCCCAGTTCACCCCCAGCTCTGCCATTCACTAGCTCTATAATCTTGGGCAAGTTACTTCATCTCTGCAACCCTAAGTTCCCTCATCTTTACAATAGGAATCTGTTTCCCAGGCATCTAAGCCCTGGGATTTGATGTAAAGTGGCCCTAGACACGGAGTGAAGGGTCCCAACAGGGGTCAGGGTGGTGTGCCGTTGCTAAGCTCTCAGGAGCGACGTGGCTTCTCCCCCCTCCCAGCTTAGGGCCTGAGTGTGCAGGCCCATCTCTCGCCCACCCCGCGTTTCCTGCTTGCCTGGCCCCTGCCCTGCGCACCCCCTGGAATCCGTGGCAGCCCCTCCAGCCTGTGTCCCTCCTGCCCGTCCTTCCCCAGTCTTGGCTCCCATGGCTGGCCCTGGCCCCAGCACGATCCAGGGTGTCACCGTGAGGCTCCAGGGCAGCAGTGGGGTGGGGCAATGAGGGGGCAGCACGGCCCAGACAGCAACCGGCCTCCACACACCGCAAGGAGACAGGTTCAGCAAGCATTTATTGAGCCCCTGCTGTGTGCCTGCTGCGTGACCCCTGCAGTGCCAGCGCCGCTGCCCCCTCCTTCAGGAAGCCCACTCCCTGTCTCCCACAGATTCCGCCCCTCTGGCCACCTCCGTAGGGTCCTGGCTGGCTTGTGGGCGCCAGGCGTTCCGTGGTCAGTGTCCGTGTATTTCCTGGCGTTGCAGCCGCAGCCGGCAGGGCTCCGCAAGTGATGGCGCAGGGATCAGTGGCTGCTGTCCTAGAGTCACTCTGTGCAGCCCCGTGCCTTCCCTCAGGCCCACCCGGCCCCCTTTCCAGGGCCCTGGGACCCAGGCAGCAGTGGGCAGGACGGGCCTGGTGTCTCCCACGCAGGCTGGCTGAGTTCACAGCCCACAGGCCAGGGTTCCAGGGGCACCAGACTGGTGGTCTTGCGGCAGGGGACGGTGCCAGCGATGGCCTGAGGTCCAGGGACAGGGCTGGGATCTTGGTCACACCCAGTGCCCTAGCACCCAGCACTGGCGGTTCAGCTCTGGTGCCTCCTGTGCCGAGCTCCGGGGCCAGGAGTCCCCCATGTGCGGCTGGTGTCCTGCCAAGAGACAAGGTGGTCAGTGCTGAAAGCCACCTTCCTCCACCCGCCCTCCAACTGCCCCCAGCCCCATCCCGCCTGCACATCCCTCACCCAGCCCCATGCACCACGCCGGCCACCTGTCTTCCCGTCTGTCAACCCACCCGCCGGCACGGCCTGCCCTCCTCCCCTCCCACCCCCTGCCCACCCAGCCTCCCATCCGTTCCCCAGCACAGCTGGATGACTCCTGCCTCTGCCAACGTCTGCTGCCACCCACCCTCCACCGCCAATGTGGACACCACTCTGCTCACACCTCCCACAGCACACCGACCGCCAGCCCATCCATCCCGTCCCACCGGTAACAGTCCCACCAGCCCCCTCTCCCCGAACGTCCCCATACCCAGCACCGCACCCACACTCCGACCTCCCGACCCCAGCTCACCCTCGCACCCACCCACAGCCCACCACAACCCCCCGCCACCATGCGCCCACCCACTTTCCCCCGCCCAGTCCCTTCTGCCACCCACCCCTTGGCTAAGCCCCAGCCGCATCCTGTAACCACCCCCCACCCGGCAGGCCTCCGACGTGCGCTGTGTGCCCGCCCGTGTTCAGGGGGCCGCGGTGGGCGCAGGAGGAGAACGAGAGCAGAGGCCTTACGGACCCTGGAGCGGTGAGCGTGGCGCGTGCCCACAGCTGACCCGGAGCAACTCCTCGTGAGCCGGGGCGGTGCGCTCCGCGTCCCCCCACTGCCTGCCGCTCGTGGGGCGCCTGGGCACAGGAGAGCTGGGGAGGCGCCTCCCCTCCGCTGCTCCCACCCTCTCGTGGTTTCCCGATTCGGAAGCCCGCTCCCGTCCTCCCTTGCCCGTCTCTGCAGAGTCTTTCTGGCACGTGCCAGCGCCAGTCCCATGGCACGCCTGGCCTGCCTACGATGTCCAGTACCTGCTGCTGAAGGAAACCCTCGAGGCCCAGCTCGAGGTCCGCCTGCTCCAGGACGCCCCCCACGCCCACTCCCTGGCCCTCGGGAATCTCCTCATCTCAGAGCCCCGAGTGGCTCACCCGCCAGCTTTGCCTCCGTGGGACCCCGGGCCCAGGACGGCAGGACTGACCGCAGGGTGGGTGCTCCGCGGTGGATCGGCGCGGTGGAGGAGAGAGGGGAAAGCTGAGGGAGACGTGGCTGGTGGGTGGGGGCTGAAGGGCAGGAGGAAGGAAACCAGGTTACTGAGCACGCGCAGCGCCACGCCCGCTGGAGTCCACCCCCGCAGCCAGCCCGCGAGGCGGGTGCTGCCCATTTTACAGACCGGGGAGCTGCGGCTCCGCAAGGATAAGCAGCTGCCTTAGAATTCACAGCCACGGTGGGGCTGGATGGAAGCCTTTTCTTCCTGACTCCAAACTTCAGCATCAAAAGAATTTGTGCGGGGCATGGTGGCGCACACCTGTAGTTCCAGCTACTCTGGAGGCTGAGGCAGGAGGATCGCTTGAGCCCAGGAGTTCCAGGCTGCAGTGAGCTAGGATGACGCCGCTGCACTCTAGCCCAGGTGACAGAGCGAGACTCTGTCTCAAAAAATTAAAAATTAAAAAAAGAGAGAAATTGGTTCCATGTCGTGTTGTCTTCCTACTCTGAGCTCTAATGGATGCTCAGACACACTTGGTTGGGGTCACATTCGTTCTTTGTAGAAAACCCACTGGGGTGGGAATTTCCAGGAAAGCCAAGCTCCTGCTTGCACACCCCTAATGATGAAGCGCTCACTCTTTGCTCTTTCTCCATCTCCCAAGCAGCTGTGACTGCTGGGAGATTCTTCCTAATAACCAGGTTGGCAGGAAAGCAGCAAAGAAGAAGATGGTTGTGCCAGTGCTGGGAGGGGATTTTTTTTTTTTTTTTTTTGCTTTTCTTCTCCCTATGTTTTTAATATTCTTTGATGTTTGTGCTTTGCAAATTTTACTATATTTGTTAAAGCGGCGGGAAATATTTTGCAAACATTCTGGAATAATTTGGCCTCAGGAAAAAAACATTTGTTTTGGCCTCAGTCTAGGAAACAGTCACATTGTTTTGGAAGTGTTTGCTGCCAACATAAAGGTGTTTGAGATTTTTTTTTTTTAATCTAGAAGTAAATATTTGGCACATAGAAAGGTTTGATTGTTTTTCTAAGTGAGCATTTAGAAGCGATTGTAGCTGCTCTTACAGTGGCCAACAGGCAGAACCACGGAGAATGGAAAGTAAATCATGCATTTTTTAAGGACAAAGAAAGGCCACCATCCCTGTTCTTCCTCTAGTTAAAAACAGCTTCTCTGTCCCCTGGATCTGGAGGGCCAGTCTCTGAGGACTTGGTCCCTTGTCCCCTTCTGTGGTTTCCCGGCAGGGGCTTGAGGCCTGGAAGCATTTACACAGTATGTGGGAAGGGCCTCCTCGCCATGCCTGAGGAGTGCCCCCCGGCCCACTAGGACCCTCCACTCACTTTCTCTCTCCAGGGCCCTTTACTTTGGGGCCAGTCACAGCCAGAGAAAAAGGTTTTGTGCGGTAGATTGGGAATCCCAACCCAAAATGTCCCATGGGTCCAGCGGAGGATGCCGACAGGTGGGGTGGGCCAGAGCCAGCGGTCCCTGAGCTCCCACAGTTGATACCCCGGGGAATGTGGGCTTGGAGCTTCCAAATGTTCCGAGGAACCGAAAATCTGGATTTCAAAATAAAACCTCCTGCCATTTAAATTAGACAATCAAGGTTTTTAAAATATTTTAAACAGTCTATGGGCCACGTAGTATCCCTCAGGGTGGTCTCAGCCCACGGGAGGTCATTTCGTGACCTCTGCATGTTTCCTAATCTGCGTCTTTGTTCCAGGACTCTGTTCCACGGCTTTGCACATGCTGGTCCCTGGGCTGGGAGTGCCCTTTCCTGCCCTTCTCGACTCTTCTTTCAAATGCTCCCTCTCCTGGGAAGCAGAACACGGCCCTACAGGTAGGGCCTCCTCTGTGCCCTTCAGCTGCCGCACAAACCCTCTCCCTGTGCTTGTTGCTGTGCTGTCATAGCCAGCTCAGTGTGGCTCTGCCCAGCTAACCTGGGGATGGAGGACATCTATGCAAATGGGGACCGGGTCTGCTTCATCCCGGAGCCCTCAGCCCCCAGGCCCGGCACAGAGCAAGCCCTGAGCTGACTTTTTTTTATTTTTTAAACAAATGAAGAAGCTATGGAAGAGGAGGAGGGATTCCTGAGCTTGGGACATGAGCCCCACCTGCCCTCCCTGCTCTGAGACTCTGCGCATTATAAAGAAGCTCTTCACCCAGCCTCTCCTCCTCTGGGTGCAGGTTCGTGGCGGAAACCTATGCTTGGGTCTAACAGCCAAAGGTTCAAATCCAGGTTCCACCGCTTATAAGCTGTGCAGATTTTGTTTAAGCTGTGTGGCTTTTGGCAAGCAACTTCACCTTTCTGAGCCTACAAATGGATGTAAGATACAAAGGAGTCAGCGGGCCCAGCAGGGCCCCTGCATAGAAGCCCCTCGTTATCTGATCTCAGGTACTGATGGATGTGAAAATACAAGGTGCCAGGAGGGGGTTGGGTTCAACAGCCTCTCTTCACAGACGGGGAAACTGGGGCCCATGGGTGGGGAGAAGTTTGTCCAGAGCCCCACTCAGAGGGTTAGTAGCAGATACTGTGTTTTAAATTCACTGGAAACCCCTCAGGGTTAGCAGAGTATTTGACCTATGTCCTTGCAAGATGTGATTTCTTTTCCCTTTTGAATCCAGATATCAAAACATGAACCCATTTAACATCTGATCCCCTCCAGTCCCAACTTCCCAGTCCTTCAGAGGGAAATCACTCTCTTGAACCCTCTCTAAGCCACCAACATCCCAGGGATCAGCTCCCAGTTCTGCTGGATTGAATTAAATCACATCCAGTCTTCCAAAATGGATTCATTGGGTGGGAAGGGCCCTTCGAGACCAAGAATGTCAATGCCACCACAATGCCGCCAAGAATGTCAATGCCGCCACAAAAGATGGAGAAACCGAGGCACTTAGAGGAAAACTGACTTGGCCAAGGTCGCTGTGAAGCTGGTGGGGTGAGGGTGGGCAGGCCTTGAGGGCGGGCAGGTTGGGGGGGATTGGCGTTCCTAACCACGTCTCAAGGAAGAGCTGAGTCCCTTTACAGGGAAGTTCCTTCCAGGAACTGGCCCACCTGCTGTCCAGGGTGCTGAAAGCCTCTCTTTCGGCCTGGCAGGCTCAGAGCCCACTGTCTGGCTGCCCAACCTTGACTTCTGCCCTCTAGAAAGAGATGAGATGTGGACAGTGATGGAGAATGAATCAAGGCTGGCACCGAGGTATCTGGCTTTGGAGACCTGTCAGCTAGTGACACCATCATCCCTCTTCTGTTGCCCAAAATGTCACCACCTCAGCGAGGGCACCCTAATTGCCTCTAGAGGTCCACGCTGCCCTATAAATCTCTACCGTGGGGGGGCTTCAGAGGCACCACTGTACTTGGGGGTATGTGTCTCCCTGCCAGGCTGTATGTCACAGGAGGACAACGGCCGGCTCTGCTATTATGCATGGCTGCTTCCCCAGCACCCAGCACAGTCCTAGGCGTTTGTAGTCCCTGTCTATTGAATGGACAAATAGTGGAGGATTCTGGAGGAAGAGCAGGTCTGCTGGGGACCCACATAGATGGGAAGGTTGGGTTTTCCGGTCTATCTCGGCACAGGTCGTCTTAGGAGACTGAAGGGGCCCCCATCCTTCTCTTCACTGGACTCATCTTTGGGGGGCGCCATGTTTCTGGGTCATAGCATTCTCTTTGTCTCTTTCTCGTACTTGGGATCAGGTAGCATCCACTTAGCCTGCCACCCTTCCCCAGAGCCACTGGTTCCTTGGCTCCTTTATTAAACATGCGTTGGGCATGTGCTGTGTGTCAGCCTCCATGCTGGCTGCTGGGTCTATAGAAATGAGCCTGGCCCCGGGTTGCTCGCAGTCTGGTGAGGGAGACAGGCACAGTAAGAAGAGACGACAAGAGCAAACGCCTCCGGCTCTCACGGTGTTCCAGG